CATGCTTTTTGCGCCGATGTTCGAAGAAGAACTAAGCGTTTTTTTTTTCGAATTATGCCAATACTTTTGTAGCTATTATATTAAGTAAGACAAAATGGTATATGATTGAGCTCAGTTGAATATGTTTTGTTTTTTTTTTGTAGATTTTTTGCTAAAAATGTTGAGATTAGTTTCGATAAGGACCAAAGATGATTGATATAAGCTATGGATGTGCTGTGAAATACCAATGAAAAATTATGACACAAAAACAAAACTATATGTTATTTTGTACATACTTTCCCTATTTTTATTATTCATATTCTACTTCGAACTGGAAATTTCGACTTCAATCACGTAATTACGAGTTTGAAGTCGAACTTTCTATATTGTAAACTAGTAACTCATCAGCAATGCTAGACTGTACTTTGAAACTGACCGCCTGGGGTGTCTTGTTTATCTTTGATATTCCCCGGCAGCAGGATGATGCATATCTTAATGAGGACCGAAGTAATTTCGAATTGGGGTGCAAGTAACAATTCCACTTCGATATGTTTGTTGGGGGGTTAAAATGGTAACCAATATGTTTTGGAACGATCATGCCGCTGGAATTGGTTCGAACCAGAAAACTGTACCCACCTCAGCAACTTTTGATGCTTTATGAAGCTCAGATCAGACCTTCTTTGGAGTATTGTTCTCATGTATGGAGCTCCGCCCCTAAGCATATAGAAGCTGCTGGATTCCATCCAGAAAAGAGCTATCTGCTTGATTGGAGACGCGAACATCACGTGCAACCTTGATAGTCTGGAACATCGAATAAAGGATAGAGATTTGTCTCTCTTCTATAGATACTTTCACAGAAAGTGTTCAAGTGATTTGGCACATTTGATTCCACCAAGAGCGGTACATATCAAAAATACGCGAGGGACTATGGCTGCTCATTGTTTTGAGGTTCAACTCAGTACACCTTAAACTTCACTGTTCAAGAACTCTTTCATTTGGAGAACTGCGTTTATGTGGAATAAACCTCCTGAGAACGTTATTTCCAAACGAATTTAGTCTCCAGCGATATAAATCCAATGTGAATCATTACTTTCGCACAGGCACCGCTTTCAGAGCGCCTTAAGGATTTTCCTGTAGTGCCTGTGTTTTATCCTTGAAAAAAGAATTGATCTCATTGTATATCTAGTAGATGTCGTTGTAGTAAGTGAAGATCTCATTGCCCTCAATTACTCAAGTTGGTCTTTTAAGGACAGTTGAATACACCAATGCACAGAGGCGGCTTTAGGGCGTGGCGAACGGAGGGGCCTCGCGTAGCAACCCAAGTAAATGTCTATGTCTACAGTCATAACTGCTGGAATGGAAGATCTGAATCATCAAAATGACCCCGGTTTGTGGCCCATAATAATTACTGATGTAGACCGAACGGAGATTATATTAAAAGGTCCAATCCGGGTTAAAATTGATTTATTTACCGTAAATGATAATGGACGGCGATTCAGCGAATATCACTATAATAAGATATTAGTTAACGGTGAAAAGCTTGACATGCGCTGGATGATTTATTCACAAACAAAGAATGCCGTTTACTGCTTTCCGTGTAGAATATTCGGGATAGAAAATACAAAGATTGAATCAAGTGAAGGAGTATGTGATTGGAAACACTTGGGTGATTACCTAAAGTCTCACGAATCTACTCGACAGCACAAAACCTTGTGGGAGTCAGCTGGAATCTCATCCAAGGAGATGCAGCATCGTCTTGTGTCCAAGCAAAATCTTTTTTTGGTTTGCTACAAAGGTTGTACACTTTGTTTGCCGGCTCAAGTCAGAGGTGGGCTATTTTAAATGCTCATGTGAAATCGTTATCGCTAAAACCACTTTCTGAAACTAGGTGGGAGTGCAGGGTAGCATCGATGAAGGCCGTTAAATACCAACTAAGTGATATATGTGATGCTTTAAAGGAATTATCAGAAAATACAACAGATTGTCAGTTGGTTAGTGAGTACCATTCTATAGAAAAGGAAATAACTACCTACGAATTTGTAGTTTCATTTGTCATATGGTATGCCATTCTTACAAAAATAAATGTTATAAGTAAAATGTGGCAAAGTGAAAAGATGCACTTAGATGTGGCTATACAACACCTAGACGCATTCACAAATTGGCTAGATAATTATCGAAAAAATGGTTTTCACTCATCCCTTGTATCAGCGAGAGACAGTTCAAAGAAGTCAGAAGACGACGTAAAAAAAGCATTTTGATTATGAAGGAGAAGATGAAGCTCAAGAATTGAATGCGGAAGAGAATTTCAAAATAAACTATTTTTATGTAATTTTCGACAATGTGTGCGCGAGCTGTCATCCTAGGTTTGAGGCACTTAAACATCATGAGAGCATATTTGGTTTCATGTATAATATAAAAAGATTGAAGGAAATTAGTGATAGTGGACTTTAGAAGAAATGCAACGACTTGCAAATATCTATGACAGTAGGGGAATCATGTGATATTGATGGACATGAATTGTACGAAGAACTAAGTATGTTTATTCACGTATATGAAGAAAACGACGACATTATCTCGGTGCTGAAATACATAATAAAAAAATTAACCGAAGTTTACCCGACTATCGAAATAGTCCTGAGAATTATTGCCACCACACCTGTGACAGTTGCGTCTGCTGAAAGGAGTTTTCGAGGCTTAAAATTATCAAAACATATTTGAGGAATTCGATGACACAAGAACGGCTTTCAGACCTTGCTATTCTTTTAATTGAAAATGACGTAGCTCATTCGTTAGATTATTGTGCTTTAATTAAAGATTTCAGTCTTAGGAAAAGCCGCAAACATCAATTTTAATTTCTGTATTTATTAATTTGAAAATCTTTCAAAATAAAATATTTCAAAACTCAAATTTTATTTATTTGTATATCTATAGCATTTCTCGTCATTTCGTTAGACATGAAAAATACCTAAACCAAACAACCAGACGGTCTGGTTCAAATCTACTTTCGCATCACATACTTTTCACGAGAGGCAAATGGCCTCACAAAGACATGCCGCCCGGAGCCTCGCAATGGGTAAGGCCGCCGCTGCTAATTCATTTGTGGTTGAGCCCAGCACTACTGGTGAGACCTACGGCGGGTCGAAACAGCGCTGTCTGTTGTCGAATCATACCAAATCATGGGCTCCAGTGTACAACTAGTTGCATTGCAGTGAAATACAAAAGACAAATCTCGTCGACGGTCAACTTTAATTTTGAAATTTTGACTTTAAACTCGAAACTTCGATTTCAATCTCGAAATTTCGTTTTTGAACTGGGAATATCAAGAAAAATGATAAAAATATAGGTCCCTTGTTACTGTGTTCCCAATTATCGAGTAAACCAAGGTTGCTTCTTGAACCTTGAACGTGTGCCGTATTTCAATTATTCTTTATTAGGTTGTACTCTTCAATTAAGCACCTTGTGATACACAACATTTTTTGTTTTATTATCAGGCGCAAGTATAAACAACGCAGATGGTCTTCCGACCCATTAACATGCCACATATAATTGACCATGTGGAAAACATTGATTTTCCAGATTCAGACCACAAACTTTCAAGGATTGGCCTTGTGATTTGTAAATGGTCCTGGCGAATGCAAGACGAATTGGAAATTGAAGTCTTTTAAACTCAAACGGCATATCAGTTGGGATCATCGGGATCCTCGGAATGAGAACTTCCTCACCTTTGAATTTTCCTTTGAGTATCGACGCGTAAATCACATTGTTCATCAATTTACTTACCACCAAACGTATACCGTTGCAAAGAGTTTTGGTGGGTTTATGTTTCGAAGCATGATTCCTACGGAGCCAACCTTCAGGCGTAAATTGCGCACATCCGGATAACCAGGAACCGTATTGCCTTGCTTCCATAGTTGAAAATTCTTCGATGAAGCATTTCAAGTGTAATGATGTGGCATCTCCGAGTATAGCAAAGTTCGTGAAAACGGATCTCTTTGGCAGATCGCAAAGAAATTGGTCAATGTTGTCGCTGGAGGTGTTTCAGCACGTTGAACAACATTCGAAGCCGTGAAATATACTCGTTGGCCATTCTCCAGATGTCATTTTTATAATTGTCAAATTTTTTGCCATACTTAACCATTGACAAAATTACGTTTAGCCGTCATTTACCTTTTTTTGCTATTCCATTTCAGATGCGTTTTTGCTTTACCACGTTTTATAGTGACTTCTTGGTGACTTCACGGAAACGTGGTCGAACGGGATAAAAAGTATCCTATGTCCCTCTCCTTGCCAAGCTTCGACATCGACAAGATTTATTCTGTCTTTCACTGACCGCCTGGAATGTCTCGTTTATCTTTGATATTCACCGGCAGCAGGAGGTTGCACATCTTAATGAGAATCTCGAAGTATTTTCGAATGGGGGTGAAAGTAACCAGGTTCAATTCAATACTACAAAAACCCAGGCATCGGTTTTCTCCAAAAAGATAAATGTCTCCGAGCCGGATAAAATAATGTCAGGTCAGACAATTCCACCTTCTGCTTCGATAAGTTTGTTGGGGGTTGAAATGGACACCAATATGTCTTTGCGCAATCATATCCTATGTCCCTCTTCTTGTTCTGAACTATCTCTCCACCAATTTTCAGCCAAATCGGTTCGTCCGTTCTTGAGTTATAAATAGTGTGACTAACACCACTTTCTTTTATATATATAGATGAGTATATGGATGGATATCTCTCGAATACCTTCAACATCAACGCTGGTGTTCCTCAGGGATCCATATTGTGTCCAACCCTATTTTTATTGTATATCAACGACTTATTGAAATACGCAACGGACCGTGGCTACTCATCGTTTTGAGGTTCAACTCAATACACTTCGAACTTCACTGTTCAAGAATTCTTCCATTTGGAGAACTTCGTTTATGTGGAGTGAACTTCCTAAGAACGTTTTTCCAAATGGATTTAATCTATAGCGATTCAAATCCAATGTGAACGCTATTTTCGCANATACTGAAAACACCTGATGACGATCAAAAATTTTATTACAAACAGTTTATAAAGTTATCCACAGTTGTATAATTTAATTTTCTGCATCTCACTTCAACTTGTAGCATGCTATTTAACTTAAATGACATATCATGATGGACATATCAGGTAAATCGGTAGAACGGTAAGACGGGCAGCAAAAATCAGATCACCATTTCAAGAGTGAGATCGCATAACCTTCCGTCGTTGAAATTTATGAATTTGAATGATATTACGTTTTTCAAAAACCTACCAGAAACCTATTAAATCCACAGGTCATAAATAACAAAGTACATCCATTTCATAAACAAAAATAACAAAAATGGTTGTTAATTATAACATATTTACACTAACCTCCATTATATAAAAAAATCAATTATAAAAGTATCAAAGCTGAACCTCGATAGGAGCTGATATTTTACAAAACAATTTTTTAAAGCACTTCATGTTCAATTTATAATTCATCATGTTTGGGACCAGAAAATTCGGAATGTGAAATGTACCCATTTTTGTCTTGGTCTTCGTGTTGAAATATTTCTTCTACGAGTTTGTCATGTTCGGCAATCATTTTTTGGATTTCCTCGCTTGGGGTACCTCCTTCGGCTTCAACCATTTGCTTTTTGAGGTACTCGCTCACCTAAAACATATGAAAATCATTATTTACGAAAATATCTTTTCCATTACACTTATTATAAATGTAAGAAGGAATAGTATAAATGTAAAAAGGAAGATTTGAAAACTTTCTCTGTGAATTGAAAAGAGTAATTGATGAGGAATGCCAAAATCTTTTCTGAATTGATTAAAAAAATCTTCCAGGGAAGGCTCTAATTGATAAGTAGGAATTGGAGAGCTTTGAAAATCTCGAAACGGGTAACATTTACTATTATTTAAGTTTCACGACCAATGTAGATTGAATAGAATAGTGAACTGGCTTTTTTCTTACAAGAGTTTCACACTGCTCATAAGTCAGCTACTAAGCAGCCAAAAATGTAGGTATACAGAAAAATCGAAAACCAAACATGGAACGTGAGCTGGATTTTACTATGCGGAGAGAAATATTTACTTCAGTTACACACTCGACCAGTATACACCAGTCTTCCAGACTGAAGTGTATGGAATGCACAAGGAACATAAATTTGAGTCCTCAAAGGAATGAGTGCATCAATATTTTCACAATCAGGATGTACTTGGAATACTGACGAACCCAAAAATGACATCGAGACAGGTCTGAAAATGTCGTGAAGAACGGAGAAAACTGGAGGATAGGCATAGTGCCAGGATCCTCAGGGATCGCAGGCGACGAAAACGCTGATGAGTGTGGCAGATACAATGTAGCATCAACTCCAATATGTAGGTCCTTTATGAGAAGTAGGGGCGTGGATGTAAGTACTGGAGTACTGGAAAAACATTCCCGGGAACACACAAGGTGAAGTAAAAATCGGCTTAGAATAATTACAGTGCCACTCAATGGATTCTATTCATTGAGAGAACACTCAAACAAAATGGGTCTGTGCAACGGAGACCTTAGCTGCAGGTAAGGCAGAAAAGGGACATTTTATGCGAATGTGAGGCACTGGATTACAAAAGGTAAGACTTGTTAAACAAGGACCATAAAGGGAATCGCAATAATTGAACAATGACAGCACCAATGTCTCGCAAAGAATACCTTTCACATCCGGTGTGAAGCTTTTCTACTTCCGTATATCGTTTTCAAAATAATATACCTACACAGTAGGTTGAATGGATTGACGCCTATCAGAAAACAACATCTTCCCTGGCTAATACAACGAAGGGGGTTGGATTATATCCGACAGGCGTCAGTGCAGGAATCTTCACAGAAAATTTCCTGCATATGCAAATGGCAATACAACTGAAAGAGTCGACCTTAAATTTTGGAACGGGCACACTTGTAGACCGGTTTCGGGCTCATTAGCCACTCATCAGCGCAAGATAGTGGCCATCATTGACCTAAATTCAACCTCGTCATCGACCTCGTCCACAAGATGGAATGACACAAATCACCAGCCAAAAATTAAACGAATTTCTGCCTCACCCACTATACTCTACTGAGCTCTCGCCAACCGACTACCATTTTTTCAAGCACATCGATAACTTTCTTACCGGTAGAACCTTCGTCAATCCGGACCGGGCAGAAACGGACTTCGTCGACTTCATCGACTTCATCGAATCACGAGTACACAATTTTCATGCCGATGTCATGATGTGTTACGTTGGCAAAAGTGTAATGATTCAAATGACGCTCATTTCGATTGAATTGAATAAGTATTCACTGAGATATTCCAGTTTGAAGTAGACTCATTAAAACGGACAAAATTTCTGAAACAACCTAAAACCACTCTGGTAATTTGAAAACGTGACTGAATTTATTTTCATTTCTTCAAGGTGAGGTGAAAGAGATTTGATTACACCCTGTATGTGATATATGAATAAAGTGGTTCTCAGCTTGTTGATATTAATTCGTGTACACCTACAAAATGCGGAATATATTCGATAACGGTTCATATATACTAAAAACTTTCTCTAACATCTGCGGATTTGAGACAATAAACACATTATAGTTGTTGCTTAGATGATTGTGTTTTCACGTACAGAAATTGATGTCACAATTGTAATTCTAACGGTATGTCCCAATGATCTGATTTTAAATTCAAAACATAGCTTCGAAAAAGTTTTGTTATCACAATATATCCTGCTATTTTTTATTCGTTTCTATATCTCGTAATACACTGCATATGGGTTTGAAAGTTGTTTGTAGGTTTTGTCGAAGTTGATGATCATAGGGATTGTTGTACAGAAAAGCTATTGTATAGCGAAATACGTGTCGCGGTTTTTGTAAAACTCTTATAGTGAAAATCATAGAATAAACTTTATTGATTAGTGTTTTAATTATCAGAATGACAGATATCAATGGCCCTAACCACAATCACTGAATATTTCTTTTTGATATATTAGGTTGCTTAAAAAGTTTTGTCTGTTTTAATGTCATGTGTTTTTGTAGCTTCATATTTCAATAAATATTCATTCTACTGTGTCATGGTATATACTGACAGATAGAGAATTTTATATACATTGATGCTGAAATGTAGAAGAAATCACAGTGAGAGGACTGGTCATGCGGGAATGTCACCCCTTCTTTGGAACATAGTTCTGATACCCTGAATAATAACCTCAAAAATAATGGATTCTACACAATTGTATATGCAGATGTCATAGTTATCTTGTAGACCGGCAAATTTGTGAATACAATGTACGATAGAGCGCAGGATGGGCTCAAATTAATAGAAACATGGTGTGAGGAACACTCACTGTCGATCAATCCCAAGAAGACCGAGATGGTCCTTTTCACCAGGAAAATAAGTTATTCGGTCTCAAAACCTCCCGAAATCTTCAAAAGAAAACTGAACTTCTCTGAAGATGTGAAATACCTTGGTACTACCCTCGAGAGGAAACTAACATGGAACTCTTACATACAGAGTAGAGCAAAAAGAGCATATATGGCTCATGAGCAATGTCGGAGAACAGTGGGACGCACATGGGGGTTTTCAGCACGTGTGGTCATCTGGATCTACACTGCAATAATAAATCCTACGTTAACGTACGGAGCCATTGCATGGGGACCGACAGTTTTACAAGCAACGGCTATCCAAAAATTATATCAAATACAGCAATTGGCTTATTTAAACATCACAGGAGCCATGAGAACAACACCAACCGCGGCAATGGAATTAATTACTGGTCTGACCCCTCAGGACAAGTACGTTAAGGAGTTTGCGTTAATGGCCATGTTACGATTGCGCACGGCTGGTGTAAATCTCGAAGTAGGAATGGGTCAATTGAGGCTGAGCCTATGGCGAGAAGCGGTTATTGCGTAACCTCTGCAGGCAGTCAGTGATGCAAATGAACCCAATAAATCCTACAGAATACAACAGGGCAAGCCCTATTAGCCTTGAACAGACAACGTGTTACCTCAGGGCTAGTACTAGAGTGCCACCAACATTTAGTCAAAGCCTTGGTACATAATAACATTATCCTGAGGTGGTCAAAGGGCACGACAGAAGTGAAAGTAATCACAGTGCCGACTCTTTAGCCAAGGAAGCGGCTGGACTAGGAATTTTAGGACTCAGTGACACCTACGGCCTGATGACTTCGACAATTGCGGAACTAGCCAAACGTCACACCCATGCTCAATCCGTAAAGAGATGGGATGGCATTAAAGGATGCACTCTTGCCAGGATCACCGTGGGCGTCCCTGGGAAGCTGGCGCCGAAGAATTATCTAGCGATGACCAGGAAAAATCTACGCTTAACGGTAGGATGTCTGACTGGCCACTGTCAACTGAGGAAACGCCTTCATAATATGGGGCTAGTGGACACACCTCTATGCAGGATGTGTGAACAGGAAGATGAAACCGTCAGGCATGTCCTATGCGAGTGTCCGGAATTATCGTCAATAAGATAGGTGTGTTCGGCGAGTCTTGGCCTACACCTGCCGATATAAAGGAGATGTCTTCTAGTGATCTGTCCACCTTCCTGGAAAGGACCGGCTGTGTGATGAACTAGGAGGACAACTCCTCGGGAGGATGTACAAAGGGCCACATGTGGCCTAAGTACTGTGGGCCTACACTCACCCTCCCTACTCTACAGATACAGAGATACAGATACTGACCGATAGGGAATTGTGTACTCTATACATTGATTTTTTTTAATTTTAATTTCTGCCTTTTCTCATGGTGTTACTATATGATGTTGTCAAGCGACTTTCGGCCAATTTTTCTCAACGAATTCAAATTGAATCAGAGCGCTGCCGAAACTGACAAAAAATGCAGACATTTTGGCAATGATAGTGTGAATGATCGTATTGTTCGGAATTCCATTTCGGAGATTTCAGCCTCGAAGATGAGCTACGAAGTGGTCAACTACAGAGAAGTAGTAGAGGATTTGAGAACCCTGGTGGAAACTAACCCATCACAAACGGTGCGTGGGATGGCGCAAGAACCAAGCGTCCGGTTTGGAGAGGTCGAACAGTTCGAAAAGTAGGTGACCCACGATTTGAACGATCGACAGAAATGGTCACGTTCAGAGGCCTGTTTTTCTTTTTGGGAAACCAAAACGAACCTTTTTTGGATCGGATCCTCACGTGTGATGAAAAGTGGATCCTCTATGACAATAGGAGACGTTATGTATTTCCAGACCTTGTCTGGGGATTCAATTTTCAAACACCAAATACCCAGTAAGAATAAGAATTTTCAAATCAGTTTTGAAGGATCTGTACAATTTTTAGGTATATGATCGTAATACAGACACAGACTGCTCTCCATCAAATAATCTTTATATAATACGAAAAATCCAACTTGATATAAATTGGGAGTTTGTGAAAACATAATAACTATTCAACTTACTTCTTCGCGACTCAGCTGATTGTCTTTATTCGCATCGATTTCCTTGAACACATTCGTGGTAGTCTGTTGAGCCTCTCCAATGTTGATCAGTTCAACTTCGAATATCAGTGTGGCTTTGCCAGGAATAACATTTCCCGCACCAGCGTCTCCGTATCCCAAATTTGGCGGAATGGTAAGTTTTCTTCTTTCGCCTACACACATATCAGTCAGTCCTTGATCCCAGCCTTTTATCACCTGCCCTACTCCCAACTGGAATGAGAATGGTTGCTCTCGATCCAAACTAGAAATGAAAAAATAATCTTGATGAAAATCCATATTAAAACTAATTAATACAGTTTATTGTATGAATTTCACTANGAATGAAGATCTAGCTCGTCTTATTTCAGCATCTGAAGCTCATAACTTCAAAATCAATTCAAACAAAACTGATCTGCTTGTTTTTGGTACTAATCGTAGCTTGGTGGAAAAATATATTAATATTGTTATTGGTGAAACAGTAATATGCCCCATGAATGTGGCAAAAAATGTAGGTATGGCATAGAAAGTATCTTCATGAAAAATAAAGAGGAAACAAAAATATGGAGGTTTTTTCATGTTTTGTATTTCAATATGTATTGGAGTTTCTAACCAACTTAAAAAATTCCTAAATAAGCATTTAAAAGAAAAGAGTGTATTGATGTTGAAAAATGGAGGAAAACTAAAACTGTAAAAATAATTAGTCTGCATAAAACTTATTGTGTAAAAAGTTTGGCCATGAATTATTGTTACTTACACGATATTGTTCAATCTTGCATAGCATACTTTCATGAAAATGTTCCGTTACGAGGGGAATACAAAAAGTATTTTTTTATAAATCTCAATTATATCGGCAGATTGTGAATTGGAAGTATGATTGTTATATATCATTGGAAAGGTAATTCTCTACCGAATCGTAATTTTCCAAAAAAATACATACTTTCCATTTGAAAAATAAAAATTGGATGCGCTTCTGGTCAAACCGGAAGTGTCGTATTTGGTTTGATGCTTGGTAAATTGTACATTCATAGCATCAAATCGAAGAAGGAACAAAATTACGACTAGTAGGCCATGGTAGCATGGTACCTAGGGTAGCATACGTTTCGTCTGCTACTGCGGCAGACATAATCATTATATTATTGATATAGTTATACTTTCAGAGGAGGGTGAGGGTGACGGTGGGTAAAGCGGCGGTAGGGACGGTGATAGGAGCGATACCGCAGTCGCAGTGTCTGTAAATGTTCATCATATGCATATTTTCCGTAGGGGCGATGGCGCGGTGTTCATGTAAATGCTCACCAGGTGAGTATTAACATTCGACCACGCGAGATTCCATTCGACCACGGTCTATTAGCCCAGAATTTGTTGTTTTCAATTTTCCATTGAATATTCAATTTGTAGGCAGAATTTATGAATACTAAAAGTTACTGAAGAAAAGAGAAATTAAACTTTCTATGTTTTTTACCACTTCAATGAAAGTTTTTTACTACTTTTTATAAAAGTGGTAAAACACTTTTACAATTTTTTATATTTTATCAAAGGTTACTGAATAACTGTACTGTTCAGTGGTTCACCACTTTATAATTTATCAAAAGTTACTGAATAATTGGACTGTTCAGTGGTTGATATTAGGCAGTTCATCAGATTCTATGTTTATTTTTCAGATTAATACAATCAGAGAAACATTGTTTACCTCACAAAAATATCTTTTGAAGGATATACAAGAATATGTTACGACATCATGTCGTCAAAATGGATTTCATATTTCTCAGAGACATAAGGAGTTCATTTTCAAATTGTCATTCTCTAAACATGAAATTCTATGAATCAATTACACATGCTACACAAATGGCATTCAAGTTGGGATACATTATTTTTGAATTTGAATTGAATTATCTAATTAAAGAACGTCTTTTTGTAAAAATTAGGTCTCGGCGGGTGCCTATTTTGCTGCATATTCCGTGTCAGTAGTTTACATTCCGAAAAATATTTTTTCATGTTATTTTTGGATTGACATTTTCTGGAGTAATTCTACATTTCACTGTACATATTTTTGCTTCTCTTTTCAGTCACCATACTGCTNTTAGGTAAATATTTTGTGATCTATCGACTTTGTGTACTGATTTTAGATATAAAACTTATGTCCAAACATGATTTATCGTGTACATTTTATTCCATGTGGAGAATTTTTCATTAATTGGAACGTTAACGGGTTCAGATACACTTCCATAATTAAATTGATGATTATAGACTCCGTAAATTTTACGATATGGCAGTGTTGACTATTTCTATTGTTTCTATTTGTCAATCGAACAAGAAGCGGGAATAGGGCCGTGACGTCACCACCCTACCACATTCAATTTTTAATAATTAATTACGGGAAAACTACGGTATTGAGAGAGATGAAACAAAGTGCACTGGTTTTCTATTCAAAATTTCTATCAAGTGAACTATAAACCAAAAATCATGAAACAAGCCCATTGAACAAGAACTCAATTTGGTATAAGGACGATTCACATCTCGAATGAAATTCGAAATACTGGTCATTGTTGTAGTAGATATGAGGTACCTATCTGATTCTCAGTTTTTTTTCACTTGTTTATTTGTTTAATTTTCATTTGTTTTTCATTTTTTCGTACGAAGATTGAGGGGTAGAAAGCCAAAACCTTTTTTCCCTGTAACTATTGATAATTGAGTTTTTTTGTTTGCAATTCATAATATTCCAAGTTTAGCAGCTTCACAGACTTAACAGAAACGATGAAAATCATACAATCTTTAAAAAATATCTTTGATACTTTTTACAAGCTTGGAGATAACAGAACTGAGTAGATGTATCTACAGGGTGTTCATTGAATATGCGGCAAAAAATTAAAAGACTATTTCTTGGATATTTTGTCTTCGACAATAAAAATTTTGATAATTTTAAAATTATTAACGCAGCCAAAACAAAAGTATAGCGTTCTACACTGGATCTATCAATTCCGTTGGTACCTATCAACAACATTCCGAATACTACAAACAGCTGCAGACATTCAATTAGCTGGTTGTAACGCAATCGGAAACGATCCTGATGTTTTTGAAAGAGTTCGGGAGTCAATGAGGAGAAGTTTGGATTCTTGCATCCCGAGTGGAGGGGGGGGGATAGGTATTTTCAACAGTTCTTGTAGATTAAGAAACATTACATGTGATTTTTGGTAATAAATTGTTATTGTCCAAATTCTTTTTCGCTTCGCTTCGAAATAAAGTGCCGTATCAAGAATAATTAAAGGACAAAATATCCTTAAAATAGTCCAAGAAATAGTCCGTTGAATTTTTGCCGTATGTTTAATGAACACCCAGTATAGTGCAATGAAACACAGTTAACATTGTTCTCGTACTATCAAAATTAGACAAATTCGGTGCTACTTGTTTGATGTTTCAACCTCCGGGACACAAAAGTTTCATAAATTGGGTAGGAAAAGAAACAAGGAAAGATAAAAATCTACTCAATATTTGAGTATGTAGAGCGTTGCGTAACGATGATACAGGGAATACTCAACTACGTAAACTTTACACCATCGAGACTTCTTGCATGAGACAACACAGTGAACTAAAATATTCAGATAGTCATGCATATGAAAACTTCTTCAACCAGACAACAAGCAGTAAACTCAAAGTTTTCTGCATTATATAGTAATCATATACCGCAAAGGACCCTTATTTGGGAATTCTCAACGAAGAAAACGTCTTGCATGCATTAGACTTATTTTTTGTTAGCTGAAGTCACACATCATCAATCGAAAAAACACGAGAAATAATATACCTGATAATTGATAAGTAACACTACAAAGTCAATTACACTCTGGGGCAATTAAATGCATGGACAAGGCAATTTTTCCAAACAGATGCTAATTTGCAACAATAAAAAGTGGATATCAAAAGTGAAGAAATCTAGTAAGAAAATCCAAGCTTCGCATTCAAGAAACAAAAGAACGTCACAGGAAAATAAATTGTTGAAACAAAGCAGTCGTATTATCAAAACCATATTCAGAATTCTAATATGAATGACACTAAAAGTTGAAGTCTAAAGATGTAACGTATAATTTAAACAAATACTTCAAAGTCATGGCAAAAAATGGTGAAATAGATTTCGTGTAGCAATTATATTCATCACTTACAATTCTTTTCTCAGGTTAATAGTGAGATATATAGTTGTGTACTCAATGTGTATAGTATTTCCAATACCAATTGAAACATCACGGAGAAGGAATTCCCACCTCGACATGGGCGTCGGCATATTATTTTTCAGTGGTAGTTTTTCAGTTACTTATTCTTACACTCATAGCAATTGATCACCCCATGAAAAAGTTATCTCAACTGAATTTTTCCACCATGGGTAATTATGAAAAACTTCGAAATTTAAGGTAGTTGATTTCCGAGTCGAAAACTCTAAAATACAATGAAAACACAAATAATCACACCGAATTCTCGTCAAACATATATTTACAAAATGATAGAGGACAACAAAATTGCTTCTTCGCTATATTCGGATGAGGTGGAATCACGATCGGATTTATGGAAATTTGCACATAATATTTGTTCTCTTCTTTTATAACGTGGGCCACACAGTTCTTGCATAAAATCACTATTACCTACTTCATTCACTACTCGCTTTATATCGTCAAGCACTACAGCATTAAAAGTCGGTGACTGATTCATTTCCGCAAGCTTTCTTTCATTGTGGCCCAAACCATTTCAATTGGATGGTAATCAGCAGACGAATCTTTTATATTGTTGGCCGACAGAAGCAAAGCGTTAGATACGAAACCACTTTCATTACCGGCATGCAAAATTATAACACGTTTTCCCCTTGAAGAAGGTGTGTTCAAAGCACAATACTTGGTTTCGTCTACCCAGTCATATTTGACAACATCATGGGTGTGAAATCAAGTTTCGTCGAGGTAGATTATGTCTGCTGGATTCTCGGTAGCTTTTCATTCGCCTCAAATATTCTTGTCGGAGTTGAACAATGCATGTCGATTCAATTATGACCATCCGATTGTTTAATTTTTTATATTTTAAACCACAAGACAATAAGACACCTCGTAGAGTTTCTAAAGATTTGTAATTGTAATCAGGATAGTCGAGTAATTTATACCAAATCAACGTTTGCGAATTTTTTATTCCTTTGTTTTCGTTTCATTGCATGGTCAATGACATTCCCTATTTTAATGACTCGAAAAACTGTCGAACGAAATAGTTTCGTTAACTCGCATATCCAATTCA